TCCTGGCGGCCCCTGGGAGGGTGCTTGGCGACCGCTGAGAGGATTCCTAGCGGCCCTTGAGAGGGTTCTCGGGGCCCCCCAGCAATGTTCTCGGCGGCCCTCGAGAACGTTCCTGGCCGCCCCGGGGAGGTCCCTGGCGGCCCCCAAGAATGTTCTTGGAGGCCGTGAAAGGGTTCTTGGGGGCCCCGGACAGGGTTCGTGGCGGCCCCTGAGAGGCTTCTCGGCGGCCCTTGGGAGGGTTCTTGGGGGTCCCTGAGAGGGTTGTTGGCGGCTCCTGAGAGAGTTCTCGGAGGCTTCTGAGAGAGTTCTTGGCGGCTCCTGAAAGATCTCTGCGGCCCCTAAGAGGGTTCTTGGCGGTCCCTGGGAGGGTTCGTGGCGGCCCCAGAGAGGGTTCTTGGCCGTCCGTGAGAAGGTTTTTGCCGCTCCCCCTCCCCCCCAGAAGGTGCATGGCGCCCCCCCTGAAGTTTCTCGGCGGCCCCCGAGAGGTCTCTTGGTGGCCTCCAGGAAGGTGCTTGGCGGCCCCCAGGAAGGTTCTTGGCGACCCCTAAGAAGGCTCGTGGCGCCCCCTGAGAGGTTTGCTTGGCGACCCCCAAGACGCTTCTTGGCGGCCCCAAGGTTGTTCTTGGCGGCCCCTTAGAGGGTTTTTGGAGGCCCCTGAATGGATTCTTGGCCGCCCATGGGAGGGTTCTTGGCGCCCCCTGAAACGTTTCTTGGCGGCTCTTGAGACGGTTCTTGGCGGCGCTGAGAGGTTTGTTGGGCGGCCCACTCAAGGCGCCTCTTGGCGCCCCCTGAGAGGCTTCTTGTTGGCCCCGGAGAGGGTTCTTGGCAGCGTATGAATGTGTTTGTGGCTGTCCTTGGGAGGACCTTGGCAGCGTATGAGTGTGTGGTTGGCCGTCCCTGAGAGGGTGCTGGGCGCCCCCTGATCGGTTTGTTTGGCGGCCCCCTCTCAAGGCGCTTCTTGGCGCTCCCTGAGGAGCTTTTTGGCGCCGCTGAGAGGTTTCTTGGCGGCCTCAGAGGCCGCCTTGGCGGCCCTTGAGAGGGTCCTGGGCAGACCCTGAGAATGTTGCTGGCTGCTTCTAAATGGTTTCTGGCTGCCTCTGAAAAAGGCTTCTTGGCAACCTCCCATTGAAAGCCTTTGGGGCCCCTGGGAGATGCTTATGAGAGGTGTCTGGTAGCCTTCCGAGAGGCCTCTTAGGGCCGAGGCCTCTGAGGACCCTCAGAGTGATCTCCCTCTGAGAAGCACCTGATAGCTCTCAGAGATGCCTCTCAGAGGCCTCTGAAAAAAAAAAGAAAAAAACTTCGCTTATGCCTCCGATAGATCCTTGAGATCCCTCGGAGAGCCCTGTGAGAGCTCTGCCGGGGACACCCTGAGCCCTTCGAAAACCGTCAGAATAGCTTCGCGTGGCTGGGCGGCCGCGTCTGCGCGCCTTCCTGGTGGGCCACTGTCGCGGGGGGAGAATATGCGCATGCGCGCTATCCCCATCGTTGTCGCCGCCCTGGAAAGAAAGGAGCTGTCCGCGCCTCCCATTGGGCTTTCTCTGGTTGCCCCCCCAGCCCCCAGAGGCCTCGGGCACCGCATCGCACGGCGCCTCCCTCTGGGATGCATCGCGGGGGCTTGGTGGAGGGGTGCTCAAGCGAGAACCCCGTTTTGAAGAAGGACCCGCCCTCAACCTCTGGGCCTTTTCTGGTTGCCCCTCAGCCCCCAGAGGCCTCGGGCCCCGCCGCGCACGGCGCCTCCCTCGGGGATGTCTCCAGAGGGTCCCTGTTCCAGGCGAAGCGCAAACAGGCAAAGCAACATTCGCACCGACAGTGCGTCAGAGCAAACGAGCAGGCGGCAGCAACATTTCAACCCGATCAGAAAAAACGAACTGACGACAAGGCGAGCCGAGCACGCGAACAGGCGAGCAAAACAAACTAGCAAGCGATTCGAGCAAACGAGCATGCGACTGACGGCGGCAACGACATTACCGCGCGCTGCGGGCCCCCTTTCATTCGCGACTCTCAGCACTAATGGTGATGGTGGGTTTCTGGGGTTCGTTCCTGGGTTTCTGCTCGTGGCTAGTTGTGTGTCGGCGGTCCTTCTCCTCCTCCTCCTCCTCCTCCTCCTCCTCCTCCTCCTCCTCCTCCTCTTCATCTCCCTCCTCCTATGCCTCCTCCTCCTCCTTTTTTCCCCTCCTCGTCCTCGCCGTCCCTCTCCTCTTCCAGCTCCTCCTCCCCCCCCCGTTCCTCCCCTGGTCCTCCCGCTTCTCCTCAGCCATCCACCTCCTCTCCCCCTGCTTTTTGTCCTCATTTGGTTCCCCCTCCTCCTCCTCGATCCTTTTTTCCTCTTCCCCCCTTTTGTTCCCGCCCCCTCCTCCCTCCTCTCCTCCTCCTCCTCCTCCTCCTCCTCCTCCTCCTCCTCCTCCTCCTCCCCCTCCTCCTCGATCCTCTTTCCTCTTCCTCCTCCTCCACTTCCTCCTCCTCCTCCTCCCGCCCCTCTTCCTTATCATCTTTTTTTTTGTCCGTCCCCATCTCTTCTTCCTCCTCCTCCTCCTCCTCCTCCTCGTCCTCGCGATTGGTGCGTCGCGCACAACGCCACTCGGTGATTCACAAGCGCAGGTTCTCCAACACACGCTAGTGCAACACAATTTCTGAAGAACTCGTCCCGGTCGGATTCATGTTGTTTCGGCGGCAATTTAAGTGGCTGCGTGTAAGGGTTGAACTCGTGCCTATGGTCGCTACGACATCCTTACACAACGGTCTTACTTATGAGCTCCGCCGGGGAACGAGTTCTTTCAAATTGGTGTTGCTTCCGCCGGGGAGCGAGTCGAACAACCGGGGAACGAGTCGTTCAACTGGGGAACGAGTCGCTCGCCCTCCCCCCCCCCCCGCGCGCCCGCGCGCCCGCCCCCCCGCGCCCTCGCGCCACCCCGCTCCCGCGCCCCGCGCCCCCGCGCTCCTGCGCTCCCGCGCCCCGCGCCCCCGCGCCCCTGCGCCACCGCGCTCCGCGCCCCGCGCCCCCTGCGCCCCTGCGCCCCGGCGCCCCTGCGCCCCGGCGCCCCCGCGCCCCTGCGCCCCACGCGCCACGCGCCACGCGCTTCGCGCCCGCGCCCCGCGCCCCGCGCCTCGCGCCACGTGCCGCGCGCCGCGCGCCACGCTCCGCGCGCCACGCGCCGCGCGCCACGCGCCACACGGCACGCGCCACACGGCGCACGCCACGCGCCACGCGCCAGTTTCTGTTCAACGCGCCATGATCAGTGCGACGTAGGTGGCGTGCCATCTGAGTACACCAAAGGGGGAGCAGCCAAGGGATCTGACAGTGGCCAGTTTGCGCCCAGGTTGTGGGGATGAGTCAGCCGGGCTGCCTGTTTCGTCCTCACTTTTCAGAGCACCGTGCCCAGCGCGATGCAGCAAACGTAGTAGTTGAACACCCCATGTGGGAACCGCCAAAGGGTATGGCATTTGCGCGTCCGCGCCCAGACTGCACGGGTATCTCAGGTGGTTTGTGCGTTGTCTTGACAAGACTTCAATATCTCCACCCTCCTGTATTGGGTTCTCGTTTTGAATGGAGGGCGCTACGGTCGCGACTCCTCCCACCTGCCTCCTCCGCCCTCCTTCCTTCTCCTGCGCTGCTCCCTGGGTGGCTTCGGAGTGCTCGACAGTCGCCACGTTCGTGGGCACTTGGGAGGCACGGCTGAATCAGGAAATGTGCGCATCCAGCTGGGACCTCGCAGCTCCCTGGGTGGCTACGAACCGCACAGCGGTCGCCATTTTCGTGGGCTCCTGGGGGCCACGGCGGGGTAGGAACATACGCGCATCCAGCCGAGACCTCGCAGCTCCTGAGGTGGCTGCGGTCTGCGCAATTGTTGCCACTTTCGTGGACTCCTGGAAGGCACGGCGGGATAAGGGATTACTCCAGCCGAGACTTCGCAGCTCCCCAAGTGGCTGGGATCTGCGCGATTGTCGCCATTCTCGTGGGCTGCTGGGAGGCACGGCTGAGAAGGGGAGTGCGTGCATCTAGCCGAAATCTCGCGGCTCCCTGGGTGGCTGCGAACTGTGCAATTGTCGCCGCTTTCGTGGGCTCCTGTTTGGGGGGGGGGGGGGGGCACGGTGGAGTAAGGGCATATGCGCATCTAGCCGAGACCTCGCAGCTACCTCTGGGAAATGGTCAACGGTCGCGCCACTTCCGTGGGCTCCTGGTAGGCACGGCGGGGTAGGGAAATGTGCGCATCCAGCCGAGACACCGCAGCTCCTGGGTGGCTGCGCTCTGCGCGACTGTCGCCACTTTCGTGGCCCCCTGGGGGCGCGTCGGAGCAAGGGAGACTGCGCATCCAGCCGAGACTTCGTGGCTCCCTGGTAGGCTGCGGTCTGCGCGATTGTCGCCATTCTCGTGGGTTGTTGGGAGGCACGGCCGAGTGGGGGGGGGGGTGCGTGCATCCAGCCGAGATCTCGCAGCTCCCTCTGGGAATTGCGAAACGGTCGCCACTTTCGTCGGCTCCTGGAAGAGGCACTGCGGGCGATGGGAGCACGCGCATCCAACGGAGACCCCGCGGCTCCCTGGGTGGCTGCGAGCTGCGCAACTGTCACCATCTTCGTGGGTTCCTGGGAGGCACGGCGGGGTAGGAACATACGCGCATCCAGCCGAGACTTCGCATCCCCCTAGGTGGCTGCGAATCGTGCAACGGTCGCCACGTGGCGGGGTAGGGGAGTACGCGCATCCAGCCGAGACCTCGCAGCTCCCTTGGTAGGCTGCGAGCTGCGCGGCTGTCGTCATTCTCCCCCCCCTCGCCTCTCCTACTCCCTTTTCCTCTCTCCTCCTATCTTTCTGTTCCTCCCTTTTCCTTCCCCCTCCTCGCCTCTCCTCCCCCCTTCTCGCCTCTCCCCCCCTTTTCCTCCCTCCCTCCCTCTTCCTCTTCCTCCTCGCCCTCCCTCCCTCTCTCCCTCCCCATCCCTCCCTCCCTTCCTCCCTCCCCCTTCCTCTCCTTCCTCCTATCTCCCCGCGTCCGCGTGGCGCCCCTGAGGCCCGAGGCGGCTGCCGCCTCTGAGGAGAAGGCGGTTGCCCTGGAGACCGCCGAGGCGCAGCTGCGCGCCGCGGGCCTGGACTCGGAGGCGTCCCTGGCCACGACAGCTGGGAACCGTGGTCTCCGGCGAGGAGTGATGCTGATTATGATGATGATGCTGCTGATGATGATGATGATGCTGATGATGATGATGATGATGATGATGATCATGATGATGATGATGCTGCTGATGATGCTGATTATGATGATGATGCTGATGATGATGCTGATGATGCTGCTGATGATGATGCTGCTGCTGATGATGATGCTGATGATGATGATGATGATGGCGATGGTGATGGTGATGGTGATGGTGATGGTGATGCTGATGATGATGATGATGTTGATGATGACGATGCTGATGCTGTTGAGAATTATGGTGCTGATGTTGATGTTGTTGGTGATGATGAGTATGCTGATGAGTATGCTGCTGCTCATGCTGATGATGCTGATGATGCTGATGCTGAGGATGACGGCGCTGATTATGACGGCGCTGCTGCTGATGATGATGGTGTTGCTTTTGCTGATGATACTGATGGTGCTGATGATGCTGATGATGATGCTGATGCAGGTGATGATGATGCTGATGAATGTGCTGCTTATGATGATGATTATGATGATGACGCTGATGATTATGATGATGACGCTGATGATGCGGATGATGATGACGATGCTGATGTCGGTGCTGCTGATGATCATGATGCTGCTGGTGATGATACTGCTGATGATGCTGCTGCTGAAGATGCTGATGCTGATGCTGATGACGCTGATGATGCTGATGATGCTGATGCTGGTGATGCTGATGATGATGCTGCTGACGATGATGTTCATGGTCATGATGATGACGATGATGCTGATGATGGCGCTGATGGCGATGATGACGATGATCACGATGCTGACGATTATGCTGATGATGATGCTGATGATGCTGGTACTGATAATGCTGACGATGATGATGTTGATGCTGCTGCTGATGATGATGCATCTGCTGATGGTGGTGATGCCGATGTTTTTGTTGTTGATGATTATGATACTTATGGTAATGATTATGCTGCTGATGATGTTGATGCCAACGATGTCGATGCTGCTGATGATGTTGCTGATGCTGATGCTGATGTTGATGATGGTGATGCTGATGGTGCTGATGCTGATGATGCTGATGCTGTCGCTGATGTTGGTGATCCTGCTGATGATGATACTGATGATGCTGCTGATGATGCTGGTGATGTTGATGTTGCTGTTGATGATGATAATTATGATAATCATGTGCTGATGATGCTGATATTGATGATGATGCTGATGATGAGGATGATTGTGAAATTATGATGGTGATGCTTCTGATGCTGATTCTGATGATGATGCTTTTGATGCTGATGATGATGGTGATGATGACGATGATGATGATGATGACGATGATGATGATGCTGGTGATGATGATGATGATGATGATGATGATGATGATGAGGATGAGAATGAGGATGATGATGATGATGCTGATGATGATGATGATGATGATTATGATGATGATGATGATGATGATGATGATGATGCTGATGATGATGATGATGATGATGCTGATGCTGATGCTGATGATGATGATGATGATGATGATGATGATGATGATGATGATGATGATGATGGTACTAATTCTGAGTATTTTGAAGATTGTGATGGGGCTGCTCCTGATGATGATGAGGAGGAGGAGGACGAGGAGGAGGAGGAGGTGCAGGAGGAGGGGGAGGCGGAGGGGGAGGAGAGGAGGAGGAGGAGGATGAGCAGGAGGAGGAGGAGGAGGAGGAGGAGGCCGTACCCATTTGAGCTCAAGGTCTGTCCTCTTCACATCTTGGCTCAACTGGTCCCCAGCGAGGGGGAATGATGCTGATGATGCTGCTGATGATGATGATGAGGATGCTGATAATGATGTTGTTGATGAAGATGATGCTGATGATGCTGGTGATGCTGATGACGCTGATGATGATGCCGATGCTGATGATGCTGATGAATCTTCTGTTGATGATGAGGTTGATGACGCTGATGATGACGATGATGATGCTGATGCTGCTGATGATGCTGATGGTCATGATGGTGATGGTGATGATGATGATGATGATGATGATGGTGATGATGATGATGATGATGATGATGCCGGTGCTGCTTATGATGATGATGATGATGATGAGGATGATGATGATGATGATGATGATCATGATGATGATGATGATGATTATGATGATGATGATGATGATGATGATGATGGTGATGGTGATGGTGATGATGATGATGATGATGATGGTGGTGGTGGTGCTGATGATGCTGATGATGATGCTGATGATGCTGATGCTGATGATGCTGATGCTGATGCTGCTGCTGCTGCTGATGCTGATGATGATGATGATGATGATGATGATGATGATGATGATGATGATGGTCCCCGAGAGTTGCTGCATTCTACTGTTTCATCCTTCGGCTTCATCCTTCTCCCTTCCCGCATCAAAGAGATCAGGGCGCGCATCGGAAGGCGGTGTGATATCGTCACCCTTTGGGTTTTGACAGGCGGCGTATTTCGACACATCGATCGTTCGTCATAATGCCGCGGCTCTTGTCAGGACACGACGTTAGTCGTTATTGACAAGATAGGCCCAGCTCGTCAGCCCCGCACACCACGGTCGCCAGGCCCAGCGGGACGTCTCTTGAGCAACTCACGGATGAGGGTCTGAAGGCGCATCGGCATCGACGCCCCTCCCAGGGGGTTAAGGAACACAGCTCCCCCAGTTCCACACCTTCGATGCTGTGTTTTTGTCCCACGCGAGGTTCCCACGAGTCCCGCCCCCCTCCCCAGGTCCAGCCCTTCTCATCCTGGATCGTCTCTGACGGTCCCCGGGCTTGAAGCGGATCCCCGAGGTTGAAAATGGCGTGGCGCCTCCCCTGGGATCCGACGTTGCGAAAAGAGGCAAACTCTCGGCGTTGAGCGAGAGGGGGAAGTGAGAAGGGGCGGGCCTTCTCAGAAGTCTCGAAAGCTCCGCGGCCCTCTGAGAAGTTTCCTGAGCCTTCCCCGAAGACAGGAACAACTTCTCGGAAGCCGCGAGGGCCTCCGAGAAGTCCCACCGCCTTCTGCGAAGGCCTTCTCTTTCTCATCGCCCCCCCTCGCCCGCCGCCTAACCTCGTGAGCATCACGGCGGGGAAACCACGCTCGGGTCCGACACCGTGCTGGCTTCGGGGCCCCCTGAGAGGGGCGGGAACGCCCGGCGTGAGACAACTGCAACGCCTGGACCTAAGTTGGAAGTCGGGCCTGTCCCTCCACAGGAGGAATATCCAAAAATAGTCTCCACAACATGGGGACGATTTCTTGAGTATTTTTTGATCATGTTGGGTAACTGTTCGTCCAAACTCCCCCTGCAGGAGGACAGGCCCCACGGCCCGACTTACATCTAAGCGTGTTTCCCTGAAGACCTGCAGACGTTGGAGTTCTGCCGGGCGGAGCCAGGACCGGGCTACTCAGGAGCGAAAGGAGGGACGTACACGCACACGAATCCGCGCTGGTTTCGAGAGTTCGCATGGCAGGCCAGCCACAACTGGGGGAGCTGTGATCCTTACCCCCCTGGGGGGCCCATCGATTCCGACACCCCTCTCGAGAGGTCGTCGATGCGATGGGTTCCCCCAGGGGGGTAAAGACCACAGCTCCCCCAGTTATGGCTGGTCGGCATGGCGCGACGTATCACGCGGCAGATCTCGCGGGTCAAGGGGCCGTGTTCATGTACATAGCACATAGCTGGGCGCGTACGTCCCCTGTGAGCTCCCTAACTGCATCGCTCCAGAGCCTTCTGGAACCCTCTCGGAGCTTCCCGGAGCGCCCTTGAACGGACGCGGCGCCCGTTTCGCCCTCCAGAGCCGTCAGGTCTCAGAGATCCCCGTCCGCCTGTCCCGGCCCGATTCCTGTCCCAGTCCTGGCTTCTCTGGCGGGTGGAAAGGGGGTGACCCAGCTGGGGGGTGCAGAAAAAGGCCCTGCTGGCGCCCTTCTCTTCACCCCCTATTTCGGTCACCCTCCATAACTCAGGGGCAACGATTGGGGGGGATAGGCATAGGGGGGATGTATCGCCCCCCAATCGCCCATTGATCGCCGATAGGGGCCCGATAGCCCAAGCCTGCCCAGGACAGTGCGGACTCACTGGCAGAGGCCCATCGCCGATCAAACCAGCGATGCATCGCTGATTTCAGGTCGATGCATCCCCCCCGATGCCAGTCTGGGCATGCGCACCGGGCATGCGGGGAAGGAGACAGACTGCAAGATCTTGTTCAGGATCCTTACGTTTGGAGACATCGATTGAGACAGATGTGTAGGTAGTGTATGAGTGTGCGCTTGCCGACGCGCCATGGGCGTAGGGCTTCTGTCTGTCTATGCCAGTCCCCCCCGATCGTTGCCCCTCAATTGCCACCCGCCCGAGCTTCGCCTTCTCCTGTGCTGTTGCCGCCGGGCGGCACGAGGCGGACAAGCTCGCGCAGCAGGCCGCCGAGCACCGCGCGGCGGCCGCGACGCCGCGGCCTCGGCCCGCTTCGCCGCGCACGCGGGCCGCCCACGAGGGCCACGGGCCGAAGCCGTGGCCGCCGTAGCCGCAGCCGCCGCCGCGCGCGCGGGCCTCGCGGCGAGCGCACCACGCGCGTCCTCCTCCTCCTCCTCCTCCTCCTCCTCCGTCTCCTCATCTTATCCTCCGCGTCTTCCTCCTCCTCCTCCTCCTCCTCCTCCTCCTCCTCCTCCGCTTCCACCTTCTCCTCTCCTCGAGCCCGTTTCTTTGTTGCTTGGGGCATGACTTGCGTCACGGCCCCCGCTCCCCCCCCCTATGACGTAACGCTCCCCCCCCGTGAGCTCCGGGCATTGCCGCCGTGCTCATTGGGATCCGCGAAGGTGTCCGCGTAGGAATCCGCATAGGATCCGCAGTCGTCGTCGTCCTCGTCGTCGTCGTCGTCGTCGTCGTCGTCGTCGTCGCTCGTCGTCGTCGCTCGTGGCTCGTCGCTCGTCGCTCATCGTCGCCGTGCGCGCGGACGCGGCTGGAGCCTGTTTTTTATTCCGCGCCGATGACGGCAATCATCTGGGGCGGGTGGAGGGGGTCGATGACGTCACGTCTCGCGCCGGCGACGCTTGGGAATGCCTAGGACTGGCGGAGGACGGGTAGCACCCGCACAGCACACCTGCATGACAGCCCGCTCGCTTTAATGCCCGGCCCGCCCGACCCATCAATTTAGATCCGTCCGTTCGACCCGCCTGCTAGGGTCCTTCCCGCTCGCGTGCGGCAAAACCCGCCCGCCCGCTTTGTTGTTTCGCCTGCCCGAATTGCTTGTTAGGGTCCGCCCGCCCGACCCGCACATCAGGGTCCGCCCGTCGGATCCGCCCGTCAAGGTCCGACTGCTCGATTGAGGGAGGGTTTTGATACCGTGCGCGCTTCGTCGTCGTCGTCCGTCGTCGCGGATGTCGCAGTTGCCGTCGTCGTTGTCGTCGTCGTCGCCGTGGCGTCGTTGCCGACGTCGTGAAGATCATCGTCGTCGATCGTCGCGGTCGTCGAGGTCGAGTTGTCGCAATTGCCGTCGTCGTTGTCGTCGTCGGTGTCGTTCGTCGCAGTCGTCGTTCGTCGTCGTCGCAGTCGTCGTCGTCGTTGTCGTCGTCGTCGTCGTCGTCGTCGTCGTCGTCGTCATTGTCGTCATCGTCGACGTCGACGTCGGGGTCGTCGTCGTCGTGGTCGTCGTCGTCGTCTTCGTTGTCGTCGTCGTCGTCAGCGTCGTCCTCGTCCTCGTCCTCGTCCTCGTCGTCGTCCTCGTCGTCCTGTTCGTTGGTCCTCGTCGGTCGTCGTCGTCGTCCATCATCGTCGTCGTCGTCGTCGTCCATCCTCATATTTGTCGCCTGGCTTCGTCGTTTTCGAATTCGTCGTCGTCGTCGTTGTCGTCGTTCAGCGTCAGTGTCGCCGTCGTCGGCGTCGGCGTCGTCGTCGTCGTCGCCGTCGTATTTGTCGTTTGCGTCGTCGGCGCTTGCTGGCGTGAAAGGGGGGGTGCGGCTGGTTTCTACCCTTCCCTCTGGCCAGGGGGGTGGGGGTTAGGGGAGGGAGTGGGTTGGGGCGAGCGGACCCCCCCCTGGTTTCGCAGCCGGGGACCGGGCAAGTATACGTTTCAAGGGGGGAAGAAGCGGACGAGGAGGAGGACGAGGACGAGGAGGAGGAGGAGGAGGAGGATCAGGATGAAGAGGCGGAGGAGGAGGAGGAGGAGGAGGAGGAGGAGGAGGAGGAGGACGAGGACGAGGACGAGGAGGAGGAAAGGACGATGAGGAGGAGGAGGAGGAGGAGGAGGAGGAGGAGGAGGAGGAGGAGGAGAAGGCCGGCCTCCGCATTTCGGCGCCATCCGCTCTGGAGCCCTTCTGCCCCTGGCGCCTGAGGCTCGAATCGGCCGCCGTGCAGGCCGCCGCCGCCGAGGAGAAGGCCGCCGCCCTGGAGGCTTCCGCAGCGCAGCTGCACGCCGCTGGCCTGGTCGCGGAGGCGAGTCAGCTCCAGCAGCAGGCCGCCGAGCACAGGAGGCGCGCCGCGGCCTGCCCTGCGTCTGGCGAGATTCCGCGCGTGCGTGGTGCCCTCCCTGTCTCTCGGGGCGCAGGTGGTGTTCGAAGAAGAGGTGGTGTGTAGAGAAGAAGGTGGTGGAAGTGATGATGACGACAACGATGACGATGACGACGACGACGATGACGGTGGTGGAAGTGATGATGACGACGACGATGACGATGACGATGACGACGACGACGATGACGATGACGATGACGATGCTGATGATGATGATGATGCTGATGATGATGATGATGACGATGACGATGACGATGATGATGATGACGATGACGATGACGATGGCGATGATGATGACGATGACGATGACGATGGCGATGGTGGTGATGATGATGATGATGATGATGATGGTGATGATCATGGCGATGGCGATGAAGATGACGACGATGACGATGACGATGACGATGACGATGATGATGATGATGATGATGATGATGATGATGCTGATGATGATGATGATGATGATGATGATGATAAGGTTGACGATGACGAAGGTGATGACGATTCTGACTATGATGATGATGATGATGATGATGATGATGACGATGGTAGTGTGGTTGTGGTGATGATACTCATGACGATGACAATATCGATGTCAATGATGACGATCATGATGATGGTGATGGTGGTGATGTTGATGACGGTAGTGCTGCTGCTGATGATGGTGATGATACGTGTGATGATGTTGATGATGATGCTATCGGCAATGCTAGTGATGCTGATGCTGCTGATGATGTTGACGCCGATGACAATGATGATGGTGATGATGATGATGGTGAAGATGGTGCTGCTGCTGCTGATGATGATGATGATGATGCTGATGGTGGTGATGATGATGATGACAACGACGATTATGACCATGATAATGGTGATGCTGATGATTATGCTACTGCTGATGATGATGATGGCCAGGATGATGATGCTGCTGATGATGATGATGATGATGATGATGATGATGGAAAGAGCGTGTTCTACCGCTGCTGGCGGAAAACCGGGGGGGTCACTACCGGTTCGAACCCCACCCCCCCCCTCCCCCCCCCCCCACCCCCCCTCCCCCCCCCCCCCCCCCACTCGGAAAACCGGTGGGGGTTCACTACCGGTTCGAACCCCTCCCCCCCCCCCCCCCCCCCCCCCTGCTCATCATGAAAAGGGGGGGGGGGTCACTAACGGTTTCTAACCCCACCCCCCCCCCCCCCCCCCCCCCCCCCCCCCCCCCCCCCCCACCCCCCCCCCCCTCCGGATCCGGAAAACCGGGGGGGGTCACTACCGGTTCGAACCCCCCCCCCCCCCCCCCCCCTCGAAAACCGAGTGGGGGTGCGGACAGTGGTGGGGACGGTGTTGGTGGGGACAGTGGTGAGGGGACAGCGGGACAGTGGTGGGGACAGTGGGGGGACAGTGGGACAGCGGTGGGGAGGGTAGTGGTGGGGACAGTGGTGGGGACAATGGTGGGGACAGTGGGACAGTGGGACAGTGGTGGGGACGGTAGTGGTGGGGACAGTGGTGGGGACAATGGTGGGAACAGGGGGGGACAGTGGACAGTGGTGGTGACGGTGGTGGTGGGGACAGTGGTGTGGGGACAATGGGAATGAGATGGAAACAGTGGCACAGTGGAGGGTACAATGGTGGTGGTGACAGTGGTGAAGGCGGTGGCGAGGACGGCGGTGGGACAATGGGACGGAGGTACAGTGGGGACAGTGGTGGGGACAGTGGGGACAGTGGTGGGAACAGTGGGACAGCTCAGTGGGACAGCGGAGGAGTGAGTGGGACAGTGGGTACAGTGGGGATAGTCGGGCAGTGGTTGGGGCCGTGGAGACAGTGGGGAGAGTGGAATCGTGGTGGGAACAGTTCTGGGGACAGCGGGGACAGTGCGACAGTGGTGGGGCCACTGGTGGGGACAGTAGGGGCGGTGGTGGAACCAGTGGGGACAGCGGTGGTGAGGACAGTGGTGCTGGGAACACCAGTGGGGGATGTGATGCGGACGGTGGTGGGGACCGGGAGTCGTTTGCTGGCGGTGAGTAGGGGGGGGGGGGGGGGGGGGGGGGAGGGGGGGGGTTCGAACCGGTAGTGACCCCCCCCGGTTTTCCGGTGGGGGGGGGGGGGGGGAGGGTTCGAACCGGTAGTGACCCCCCCGGTTTTCGAGGGGGAGGGGGGGGGGGGGGGTTATGGAGGGGGGGGGTTTTGCCGGGGGAGGGGAGGGGAGGGGGGGGGGGGGGGGGGTTCCAGGGGGGGGGGGGAATTTTCGGAGGGGGGGGGGGGAGACCCCCGGGTTCCGGAGGAAAAGGTTGGCAATTTTCCACAGTAAAGCGGCGGTGGATCACGCTCTCTCTGATGATGACGATGATGGCACTGCTGATGCAGACGATGATGCTGTCGATGATCATGGTGGTGGTTGTGGTGACGGTTCTGGTGATGATGACGACCATGCAAACCATTGCTGATGCAGCTAATAAAGGTGATGTTGTCGAGAATGATGATGATGATGATGATGATGATGATGATGATGATGATGATGATGCGGCTGATGTTGATGATGCTGATGATGCTGTCCATGCAGATGATGCTGATGACCATGCTGATGGTGATGTTGCTTGTGCTGATGATGATACTGATGATGATAATGATGAGCATGATGCTGCTGATGATGATGACGATGATGCTGCTGCTGATGATGATGCTGCTGACGACGCTGTTGATGATGCTGCTGATGATGATGCTGCTTGTGCTGATGATAATGATGGTGACATCGCAGCTGATGGTGATGCTGCTGCTGATGATAATGCTGCTGATGATGATGAAACTTGTGATGACGACGATTAGTATGATGATGATGATGATCACGATGATCACGATGATGATGATGATGATGATGATGATGATGATGATGATGATGATGATGATGATGATGATGATGATGATGATGGATGATGATGATGATGATGATGATGATGATGATGATGATGATGATGATGATGATGATGATGATGATGATGATGATGATGATGATTATGATTATGATGATGATGATGATGATGATGATGATGATGATGATGGATGATGATGATGATGATGATGATGATGATGATGATGATGTTGCTGATGATGCTGATGATGCTGGTGATGATGACGCTGATGCTGATGATGCTGATGATGATGGTGATGGTGGTGATGATGACGATGATGACGATGATGATGATGATGATGATGATGATGATGATGATGATGATGATGATGATGATGGTGGTGGTGGTGATGATGCTGATGCTGATGATGATGGGGTAACCCCTCCAGGGAGCTTATGTCGTTTTACATCGTTTTCCGAATCTGGTTATTAGTTGCCCTCAGTGGGCTTTCGTGGCCCTCACTGTGTCCGTGTGTCTTGTGTGCCCTTTAGTGGCCCTTAGTGGCCTCTAGTGACCTAATGTTCCCGTAGTGCCCCTTAGTGTCCCCTTAGTGGCCCTTAGTGGCTCCTTTAGTGGCCCTGAGTGGCCTGTAGTGCCCCCTTAAAGAACAATTCTCCGCAATTCTTTCAAGGCGCTCCCCCTCCCTCCCTTGCCCCCTTCCTCCTGCTGATTCTCCTCCTCCTGCTTATCCTGGGCCCCGGTGCCTATCCCCCTCCCCCTCCACCTCTTACCTCTGTCCCTCCTCCCCCTCCTCCCCCTTTCCCCCCTGGGCTCTCCCCCGTCCCGCACCGCACTGCACATCCCCATCGAGTCCTCGCACACCTGCACGAGCTAAGCCTGGGATTCGGGGCTCGCCGTCAGCTGGCCACCTGAAATATGATGGGCATCGTCGTGTGTGCCGCTCCCTAGAGCGGACAAGACGCGATCGGTGCGCCTCATGCCCGCAGGAACCCCCAACCACCCTGCGCCGCAAGAGGTCGCCTGTCGGACCAGGTAGCCTCCGGCCGCCCAGAGCAGGTGTTTCCTTCAAGAGCCTCTGGGAAACTGTACGAGCAAACGCAGAGCAGGGCACCACTCCAAAATATCACGGTGCTTGGGCGCTCCCACTCAAGCCATGGCCACGGACAAAAAAATCGACGGCACACCTAAAAAGATTGCTCCCCAGGGCTCGCGAGCAAAGAGGTCCGAAGCGGCCAGGGCTACTTCGAACCCAACCTTTTCGCCAGGCCACCGCGTTGAGCCCACCTAGCACCCCAGCGTCTCATTATCATCCCCAGGACATGCTGAAGCTCCATCATCTTGAACCTGCCCACGGGGTACTCAAGAGGGGTTCTCTGCAGGCACGAATCGTGCGAGTCGTCGGTCGCGATCCCCCCCCAGGCCTCCGCTTGCTGCTGATTCAGCTCCTCCGCCTCCTTCCCGTTTTTTCCGACGAGAATGACGCCTTTCACCGAGTACGTGAGACGAATCTCTCCGCTGCTGAACGTGGGGCTGAACGAGAAGTCGCGAGTCCTCTTACAAGCCCTCGATCTCCGTCCCGTGCTGGAGCATGCTCAGCAGTCGCTGCCCAAGACCTCTGAACCTTCTGAGCTCTACCGGGCAGGAGGCCTCGGTCAGAAAGGGATTGACTTCGTCCAGGAGTGCGGGCACAAGTCCGAAGTACAGGCGGGCCGCGCTCGTGATCCTTCCCCTCTGCCTTGGTCGCTTGAAGGTAGCGTTGATCGGTGGCTGCGCCTGTTCCCGCGATCTTACGAGTCTTGGGGAGGAACACCTGCGCCGCTGCCTGATCCCCTTCGGTCGTTGAAAGTAGGTACTTTCGGATGCCCAAATCCTAATCTACTTTAGGCGCCTTCCTTCTTCAAGAGTCGAGCGGTTTTCCTTCTTCCCTCCTCTTCAGGGGTCGCCCCCTGGGCGATGGCAGACTCGTTCGTTCGTTCCTCTTCAGGGGGTGGGCGGAAGCCCAATCTACTTCCAACGCCTTCTTACTTCATGTGTCGACCCATTTCTTCCGACAGGCGTGTACTCTAGACTGCGAACTCTCCTCCCGAGCTGGATCGGAGGCTAGTCATTGGCTCTCTCGGGGTTCTCCTTCTTTCGCTGCTTCTGCCCCGACTCGGTCGACTGCTCGCCCGAGGTCAATCAGCTCATCACTGGCTTCGAAATCGATCACGTGATCAGTCAAGTACGGGTGGAGGTGCTCCAGCGCGTGCTGGCGGAGCAACATCGGATCGTCCGAGCCACATCTACAGAGACGACGTTCAGAACCTGCACGTTTGATATCATGCCCACTCCTCCCTCGATGAGCTCTGCATCGTACATTTGAGAATGATGTTGCCACATGCTTTTGAGCTTGTGCATGACTTGTATGCGCACTGCCGCACATCGCACACTGATTGGAGACGCAGTAAGCTATGGCAACTACAAGAGCCCCGTGCTCACCACCTCGAGCGCGGGTAAAGTGGGAGGCGAGGTGAGCTTTCGGCGGGGAGGTGGCGTTCTCCGATATTCTCCATCCTGTCCTCTTTGCTGCCCCCTGGTCCTCCTACTACTCGGATACTCTTGCTGGGCAGCCCGACAATGTGCAATAATGCCAGAAACGTCAACTCTACAGAAATCCTCCATGCCAGATAAGAGGACCGCACTCGGGGACATGCTGTGATTGTCAAGAAGAACTGACCCATCGTCAAACACCAGCAAAGCCCTGATATCTTCTAACCCTTGCAGCCTGGCCCGCGGGTTCAGCTTACTCTCTGGGATGTCCTGGAAGGGTTGCTGAGAAACTGTGCCAACTTGGAACTCCCCGAAGACCACGGGCAAGATCTGGGCCGAGGTGTCAGGGTGCTCCACAACATCTTGGAGCCACTTTGGTCGACGCACCCGCAGCTCTAGAAACATCGGCGGGATCTTGAACTTGGCGTGCACATCTAAACTCGAATTGCTACGCGTCTGCCCAGACGAATCGGTCCAGGCAGCTCCACGGAGCACAACTCGAGCATGCCGTGCAACAAATCTCTCGATGCTCCAGGTATCGCTTTTTGTTTTTAAAGGCCCGTGGCTATGAGCAAGCACCTTCATCCCCGATACCACCGCATTTACAACATGCCTTTTATACAGGTTCTTTCTTCATTTCCAGGGGGTCGTCCACGTCCAGAGCTGTCCCATTTTCTTCACGCTGCCTGCCCGCCACCAGCCGAAACTGGGCTTCCTGCCCCACAGCGAAGCGAGCAGAAAGGCGGATGCCTAGATATCGTGCAAGAACCAGATGCGGCCTTGCAGGTCATTCTGCTGGTGCAAGAGCTGCTCATTCCGATACCCTTCTCTTCCACAGCATAGAGGTAGTGCTTCTTGCTTACCTACGTTCTCTTTCAGCCCCATCCCTCCGATCGCCGAGGGGAAGGGGGAGGAGGAGGAGGAGGAGGAGGAGGAGGAGGATGAGGAGGAGGAAGGAGGGGAGCAAGGAGGGAAGGAGGGAAGGACGGAGAGGACGGAGAGGACGACGACGGGGGCGGAGAAGGCCGGCGGCCCTCCCCCGTTGGGAGGCCCCACGTGGTCCCGCCGGCGCGGGGGAGGCCCGCCTGGTCGGGCGGCGTGCCGCCGCCGCCGGCCGCCCCGCACCCCGGCTTCGCGGGCGCGTACGGCAGGCCCGCCGCTGCGCCGTCGTCAGGCCAGCCACAAGTGGGGGAGCTGTGGTCCCTGCCCCCCCTGGGGGGCCCATCGATTTCGACACCACTCTCGAGAGATTGTCGACGTGATGGGTTCCCCCAGGGGGGTAAGGACCGCTGCTCCCCCAGTTATGGCTGGTCGGGTCTTTCGTCGTCGTCGACGCACCGCCCACCAAACTCGGGCCAAACGAAAGGGGACAAACCACCCCAACCCAACCCGAAGGCCCCGATTTGCCCTCCACTTCCAGTGGGGGGGGGGGTCGGGGAACATTGACAAAACATGCATACGAAGACCGTACCCCCCCCGAACCCGAAATTCGGGTCTTCGGGTTGGGTTGGGGTGGTCTAGTCATCGACGCCGTCGTCCGTCGTCGTCGTGGGGGGGGGAACGAGGTGGCGGTGGGAGGATGTCGAAGAAGAAGAAACGCCATAAGCATAAACTTGTGGCGCTCCGCGCTGATTTCTTGGATCGGCGCCTGGCCCCCCCTGGCGGCGCCTCCGGCGCCGCTCCTGGCGCGCTCCGCGCGCCAGAGAGGGGGTTCCAGCGCAGATCCAAGAAATCCGCGCAGGGCCGCCAAAAGTTTATGTTTATGCTTTTTGTTCTTCCAGGATGCGGGGAGGAGGATGAGGAAGGACGGAGAGATGGAGGAGGCTAACGGAGGATGCAGGAGGGGGGGGGAGGGAGGATCAAGGTTTCCCCACGATGCCGACGGTTTGGGGTGGAGTGGGGTGGGCCTTTCTGGGGCCTCCTCCGCCCTCGTCGCCATCCGCTGTCGTCATCGTCGTCGTCGTCATCGTCGTCGTCGTCCGTCGTCGTCGTCGTCGTCGTCGTCGCTGTCGGCCGTCGTCGTCGTCGTCGTCGTCGTCGTCGTCGTCGTCGTCCGTCGTCGTCGTCGTCGTCGTCGTCGTCGTCGTTCCTGTGTCATCCTTCCTCGTCCGCCGCGCGTCGTCTGTCGTCCGGCGTCGTCGCCCGCAGGGGCCGCGGCGATGCGCATCATTGGCCGCCGCCGCCGCACGGCGGCTCCCCGGGGGGGGCTGCCCGGCGGGGGCGCGCGTCGCGAGGATCGAGTCCGTGCGGGCCACTTCGACCCGATCGATCCGATTCGATGTCGATTCCAGCCGGCCCGATCCGATTTGATTCCGATGTTCCGACGATGCGATGGGGGCCGATGCTCGCATGGCGCTGCTGTGCATCCTGGTTCGTCCGGCCCGATTCGACTTCGGTGCCGTGCCGATGCAGCCCGATTCGACGCACATCTCGACTCGATCGGGGCGGCCACGGGCTCAGCGATCTGGGACGTGGCACATGGCCCATCTACTGCAGGTTACCACCACTGCTCCCGGGTCGGAGAATCGACCGCCATTAAATAGTCCGCGAAGTCTGCGGCTCGTTGATTCGGTCCGATTTGCAGATTTGATGCTGACTGATCCTGCAGCGGCATTCGGCTCGATGTCCGAGTCGGAAGCGCAACAGCGGCATCGGTTCGGCGTCACCCCAACATACTTATACTATATGTGCGTCGCCCCCCCTGGGGCGACGCGCGCACCGAGAAATCTTATGGTATATGCGTCGTGGCGGGCGCTCTCTGGCCACACCGTTCACCGCTCGGGAAGCGATATACTGCAAGATGGGTGTACTATATGTTCGGGTCGGACGCGCGCCTCCAAGAAGGACATCTAGTATTAGATCCAGTATTAGTATGTCCCTGTGCGTCCCATCGGTGTTTTTTCCCAAGCAGTGGCGAAGCGTCCTGGCTCGCCTATAGGCCTACCGCATAATGTTCCAAGAACCTTCCGCGGTTTCCACGAAACGTTCTTAGAACATTTCTGGCTGGGGCTGTCTTGTTTTTACACGTCGGGTTTATGTTCTCAGAAGGTTCCTTTTGTTCTTACATTCTTGGGCCCTAAGTACATTCCGTGGTAGGCCTATAGGAATACCGGGGCGGTCGGTCCCTGCTCGATTTTCTGCGCCCTCGGAGGCTGGTCGCGCTTCAGGCGGAGGGCCTTGTGATGCAGGGGCGGAGCGGCGGCGGGCCCCCGGGAACTGGGGGCCGCAGGGAGAGGGGGCGACGGAGACGACGACTCGAACGGACAGGCCCCTCGACTGGAGAGCAAGACCTTCGCCTTGCTCTCGCCTTGCTCTCATTCGTATCCACCGCTTGCGCGCTGCCTGTGCACGCCTCATACCAGCAGGCGGTGTTCGTGGTTTCTCTCTGTTTGGCCTTTGTCCGAGCCGCGCTGTGAAACCCCCCCAAAAACAAAACAAGCAAAAAACCTCACGCATGCCGACAGAGGCGGCAAGGGCGCGGCGCTGCTGGAGCGTCCCGAGGTCGCGGCGGACATCCTGCGGGCCCTGCGTCGGGAGCTGCCCGCCGAGGTCGCGGTTGCTTGTAAGATACGCATGCGGTCCACCACGGCGCGCACGCGGGGTTTCATGCAGCTGTGCGAGCGGAGCTCGGAGGAGGAAATCCCGCGTGCGCGCCGTGGTGGACCGCATGCGTATCTTACAGGTCACCGCGACCTCGGCGGGCAGCTCCCGACGCAGGGCCCGCAGGATGTCCGCCGCGACCTCGGGACGCTCCAGCAGCGCCGCGCCCATGCCCGCAGAGGCTCCCGTGGACGCTTTTGAGGCTCCTCTTCGGGCCTCGGGCCTCGGTGGGCCCTCCGGCGGACTGGGGAGTGCCGCCTCGAGGGGTCCTCTTCTGTCGTGCTCCTCCTTCTCCATCCCCGCACCATTCTTCCACCTTCCCCGGCCACGCGCAGAGGTGGGTAGGGGGAGGGGGAAAGGCTTCTTAGAAGAACCCCTGCTTCTTAGAAGGCGCTGGCCTTGTCTGCAGCGGCGCCTTCTAAGGAGCAGCCTCCTTCTGAGAAGCCTTCCCCCCTCCCCCTACCCCCCCTCGGCGCGCCGCCAATCGTCCGCCTCCGCCACAGACGTGTGATTGAGAAGGTTTTAGGGGAAAAAATTGAAACTCAGTAGAGGACATCCTGTAGCTCGTAGCGGTCCCTGCTTCACTCCCAGCTGGCTTGCGTTACCTCCTGAGACGCCAGCTGGCGTTCCTGTATTTCCTCTCCCTCCGCTCGTCGTCGCCGTCCTCTTTTTCCTCCCTGGAATCTCTCCTGAGTCAGCCATTGCCCCATAATGTGTTACTTGCCTGCGTTTCCGCCCCTTCCATCCCCTCCGGTTTGTTTCACACAGCATGTGTCATGCGCCGCTTGTGGAGGCTATCGATGGGATGTCTGCCCTTTCCTCTGTCAAAAAGTGGCCAAGGCGTACTGTGTGTTAGCTGACAACCTGCACCCGCTTTGGCCAAAGCTTTTTTTAGATGCCCCCACACCCCACCTGTGCCCGCCGCTTCCTCGTCTCCCGCCCCTTGCTCCCTTGATCACAGGCGGGACAGATGGTCAGGCATCTGAAGGTGTGCTGTCTGTCTGAAAGGCTGGCGCTCAGGAGGGTGCCCGCGACCAGGGAAGTGTGAGAATGCTTCCAAGCTCCACGCTGCCAAGCAGCAGGAGCTCGGCCACCGTACCGTGGGCTTCGGGTGTTCGACTGTTCGATGTCCTTCATTTGTTTACGTTGCATATGCCACTCGTCTGGAGCATCAGTACGTGGTCTAGCCACCCATTGTGTTGTTTCTCCGATTCGAACCGCTCGTTATGGGTGGAATGGTTAGTGTAAAGGCAAGCGCCCCCATGATTCGAAGCAGAAAACTCGAAGCCACTGCCAATCTCGACATTTCTATGGCTTGTTTCGGCACCTGTGTCTTTCAGGATTCCGTGCCTCCACCCGCAGCAACCGTGGAGCCTCGGTCCGAGTCGGCAGTACCCGGTCGGGTGAGAGCCGCCCTCCGACCACAGGCGGGAGTGGGTGGTGGTCGCAGGGGTGTCGAGCAGGCTCTCTCAGGCGGCTCTGGCTAACCTCACTTGCAGGTCAGCCATCGGCGCGAACGAAATGGGTACGGAAAGAATGGGTACAATGCCCAACAGCAGTTCTGCTTCATTTTGAACAGGACTCGCTGTCCGCGCCGCCGCGGCCTGTGTTCATTTGAGGCAGAAGGCCGCCTACCCAACAGCGGCCGCTGTTGGTTTGGGACAACATTGGTTGTTGGGCATTGTACCCATTTTTTCCGTACCCATTTCCGGCGTCCAAAAGCCAGTCAGAGTGTCAGCAGGTTTGGCATGTCTCTCTATGCCAGGCGCAGGCGCGCAGAGGTGGCCTCCGCCGAGACCAGACAGCACCCTCTGGCGATATCTCGGTCTGCGGACGTCCGCGAAGGAGGGCTTCCGGAGAGCGCTCGGAGGCTGTTCGGGGGCCCTTTCCAGGGCGTTGTGGGACCTTCGGGGGTGCTATCGGAGGTCCCGGAGGGCTTCGGTACTCTTCCAGGAGGTTTCTGAGCTCCATGGGTGATTTTCGGGAGTCTCTCGGGGCTCGTGAGGGTCTTTCTGGGAGGTTGAACGGTGCCGAGGCCCCCCCAAGGAGTCGGCGAATTTTTGGAGGCCCCCATGCTTGAACGGTCGAGCCGAGGTAGAAAGATCGAAGTCAGCTCGGGGAGGGTACGCTAATGTTCCTCGTGCTTGTAGGATGTTCCTGTGCATCGTGGGGGAGGGCACCCTCGAAGGTTCTTCAGCTTGGCCGGCCGAGGGTCTCGTGCTCTTGCAACGTGTGCATCTGTCCCAGGTCAGACCGGAAGCGGTCTTGATCATCACACGTGGCTCCTCCTCGTCGCACCGCTGGACGCGTCAGTTGGGCTGGCCGCGCGTTTCGTTTGGGACGCCTTCATGGTTGATCATGGGGCTTCCCGTTCAAGAAGAAGAGGAAGCTATAGCCAAGCGGATCGATGGTGGATGGCGCTTCGAGTTTGGCTCTCGCCGCGTCGCCGCGCACCTTCGCCTTGACAAAAAAAGCGTTTCCAGCAGCCCCACGGGTGGAGGGCGCTTCCCTCTCCACGTTGCGTGTGTGCCTCCTGACATCTCCAGCCGCTGCGCGGACAGGAGGCCATTTCCCCAACTGGTGTTCTCTCGCGCGAGGAGGCCAACCGCTGCAACATGGAAGCGTAGCCAGTACTTGGACACTTGGACGGATGGAGGGCGGCCCCTGCCCGAAAGGGACTCGCTTCACAGTTCTTTGGACTGTCTTGCCCTCCACAGTTACATGGATGGAGGCGGCTCCTAGTCATAGCGGAATTTTCGCATGGATGTGTAGGCCCATGAGGAGCCCGTCTTTCAAGGGGTTGCTCCTCGTAGTGAGCAGGAACACTGTTGGGGACTCATGTGGAAGGGGAGTCGGCCAAAGGGGTCTGCTCTTTTCCGTCTTGAGCACTCGTTGGTCTACACGGGCCCTCTCAGGCCAGTGTCTGGGCTTTCTCTTTGCTTTTGGGGGCGAGCCACCTCAAGGCGGTCGTGGAGTAATTAATGTTTGTCCCGTTTCCGGGCTCCCAGGTCGCGCAGAAGTCACCCGTTGTTATGTCGGGCAGTGTCACGAGGGATCGTTGCCGGTGGAGCGCGGCCCCCTCGTATTTTACAACGGGATCGTGGTCCTTGGACCGCGGATCCAGGGATTGTGGCCTTTGGCGTACGGATTCCGTGTAAGTTTCGAGGCATTATTGCCCTTAGAGTGCGTTTTTTGTGTTGGTGAATTCTCTGTCGCTTTTGAAAAAAACATTAGAGTCAGGTGTCCGACCGGTCATTCACTGTCCCTAGGCGCGGGGTTGAAGTGGGGTTCCGCGATGCAGATTGTTGTTCTTGCGTCTTTCTCGCTGCATTCGCCCGCGACCCACCTGAGACCCACCCCGCGACCCAACCCGCGACCCACTTGCGACCCACTTGCGACCCACCCCGCGACCCACGCGCGACCTACCCGCGCCCCACCCGCGACCCACCCGCCGCCCACCCCGCGCCCGCCCCCTCACTCTTATCCGCAACTGCGGGGTGCAATTTTATTGTTCTCCCCTCAGCCGGTGATCATTGTTGTATTTTTCATTGAGGTGCCCCTCCCCCGCGCTCGCACTTTGTCTTTGACC